ATATTTAAAATAACCAACTTTAAAACGAAACATACAAGAAAACATTTTTCACTTACCCTTTTCAAGAAAAGTGTATATGAAAGTACACTTTTCTTGAAAGTATATTTTTCAAGAAAAGTGATATTTTTCAAGAAAAGTGATATGTTGATAATGTTTTCCGAAAAATATCGATAATCCGACGATCTACTCAATAGTAGCAAAACTGTTAATTTTGACCCTATAAATAACTTATACTTTTTTATTTTAATACGCAGTATTTGCTATCGCAATTGCACTTGATAATATTAGTTCATTGATAATATGTGTGTGTGTGTGTGTGAAGTCTTTTTTGAGGGGTTTTATATATGTAGTTATATATATTGAACTTATCTCAGGGGGAAACCCTTTTGGACCCCCCGTCATCTGTAAATAAATTTACTATTTGATACGCCGTTTCCGTAATATATGCAGAAAAATGGCAAAAACCCACAGGGGGGGAGAACACTCGATTAAAAAAAGAACCACCACATAAGAACATTCAAACCGCAACAGAATTAGTTTCTCAAATTAACAAGTAAAAATTTTTTTTTAAAAAAAATGAAAGCTTTCATATTTTACATTACGCCCAAAGGGGCGTTTTTTTTAACGTTTTGTGTGTTACCGTTTTTTTATCAAATATCATGTTCTTTACACGTAAACCATAAAATTCAGTTCAACAACAATATCTCAAAATAATTTTAAAATGAGCATAGCCTTAAATTTCCGATACATATTTTTGCGCTCTGCACATAAAAATGTTTTGTTTTTTTCCCCATGAATCAATCCATGAAAAATGCTGCTTTCCCCGTACCGTGTTGCCGGTGCTCGCTTTGAAATCTTTGAGTTTGTTAATCAAAAATTCGTTAAAGTTTTACAAAATATAAATCAGATAATAAAAAAATTTCCAAATTCCAGGTTTAGGCTTACAGATGCCCATATTAGGTTGGAAACGTACGTTATTCAAAATTTGATGGCTCTAGGTACCGTTGTTTTATCACAATGCGAGAAACATTTATGCAGATTTTTCAGTATTTAACTTCTTTAAGTATAACACAGAGAGATAACATTTAGTGGCAACAGAATAACAACACAGCTTTAAATATCGGGTTAGCCATGTTGGCGTGTTTATTGCCCATTGAAAGACAATCGCCAAGCAGTGGGCTAAACCGCATTTCAACCTGGTTTTATATTAAAGAGCTAACTAATAGCAACACTTTAAAACAAACCGCATAAAAAAATTCCCACTAGAACGAAAGATATCGAGGAAGAACCAAAGCCCAATTTTCAAAAGTCAGGATCGAGGCGTTTGTTTACCTTTTTGCACAGCTGGATATTTACAGCTGCGCTCGTGAAGAGCGATGATAAATTCCGTTTATACTAAAAGCAATCTATTTTTTCCTTGTAATGACTTGGAAATAGATATATTTAATAATTATTTAATTCTCACTGCTTTTTCTAGAAGAAGAAAGTAATATATTTACTTTAACTTTCACTCATTCATTCAGTTTGTTTTGCTTGCGAATTGTACAAAACACAATATAATGATCACACCTTCATTTAATAATATAATTAAATATTTATATTGAAAAGTCATTCCTAAGATTAATATGAATAGGATAGAAGGTATATTAACACTTAAACGATTCATCTGGCAGTAGAAATAAAAAGAGAAAATTTACTGGTAATATCCACACGCGAAAGCATTGCGAATCGTCTACTGCAACAGCTGAATGTGAGTGCTTCTGCAAAGAAAATAAAACTTTCTAATAAGCAGTTGGAAAATGAAACTAATGATGATTTTAAAGGTTTTAGGATCTTGGACTTGAGTGTAATGATTTCGTTTTTCGAAAAGGAATTGTGCTGCAAAACATGTGGCAGTGATGTCACTATCAAAGAAGAAGTTGTGTGTGGACTAAGTTCTAAGTTTTCTTTAAATTGTGTAAATTGTATAGAACTGCGTGCATTTAAAAGTTAAAAAATGATTGGTAAGAAGAACAACTGTGCTGACATTAATATACGTTATGCTTATGCCATGCGAATAGTTGGAATGGGATACTCAACAATGAAACTATTTTGTGGTATCATGGATCTTCTACACCCAGTATCGAAAAAAGCATACAGTTTATGTCATGCTCAAGGTGTGGCACAACAATCCGTGAAAAATGCTGCTTCCGAAGAAGTTCAGCTAACGGGTTCTTACAATGTTGTGGTTAGCGGCGATGGTTCATGGAAAACCAGGGGTCACACATCACGAATAGGTGTGTGTACCGTTATTGGAGACAAAAAGTGGTAAGGTTCTCGACACAGAGGTTCTTTCATCTTTTTGTAAGGCATGTGATACATGGAATTCCATGAAAGGTACACCAGAGTATGATAACTGGCAAAATGAAACATGAGGCGGAGTTTCTTATAAATCACAATGGTTCTGCGGGTAAAATGGAGGTCGTCGGTATGTTTCGGATTTTCCAGCGGTCAGAAACGAAGCATGATGTGAAGTATATTGGAGATATAGGCGATGGAGATTCCAAGACTTTTCAATCTATAACGGAGGCCCAGCCCTATGGTTCTGATGTGTCCGTTTCTAAAATCGAATGTGTCGGTCATATTCAGAAGAGAATGGGAACGCGGCTCAGAAAATTGAAACTGAAAGGTATAAAATGTGCAGATGGAAAATCTATTGGAGGAAAAGGTCGCTTCACTGATACACAAATTGACTGTTTACTATGGTAATGCAATTCGAGAACACAAAACTTCTTTGGCGGAAATGCGTAATGCTATATGGGCAATCTATTTTCACACACTGTCAACTGATGTCGAACCGCTGCATACGTTTTGTCCAATAGGTCCCAATATTTGGTGTAAATACCAGAAATAGCTGTAGCTAATGGAACTGTCAGTGAATTCAGACATAAACCAACACTTCTTTTTTTTGTGTTATGGATGTTATTAAACCAATATTTAATGATTTATCGCAACCGACACTGTTGCAAAGATGTCTTGGGGGGAAGACACAAAACTGCAATGAATCTTTAAATAATTTGATTTGGAAATTGTGTCCCAAGACCCTTGGTTCAGGAAGAATTGCTGATGCTGAAATAGCAACGAGGGAGGCCACAATGCTCTACAATGAAGGTAATCAGGGAAGATTAAAAGTTATGGCGGAATTTGGGCTGTCAGTTGGTTAGTGTAGTCGAGCATGTCTGTGTAAATTAGACGAGCATAGAGTGAAAAACTAGTGAATTACGCCTTTTGCAAAGCACAAAAGAAATGCGTAAGAAAAAGAGAAATAAACAAAAGGCTATTGCGGGGAACATATTGTTACATGAAGGGAAAACATATTCGCTTGATGCATTTTAAATATATACGCTTTACTTTTTTTTTTTTTTAATTTTTTAACTTATATTGTCCATTTTTACAACCTGTATTGTATAATTTTAGAGAATTTTAAGTAATTTTATTCAAGTGCCACTCAGTATGAAAACAATTAATCTCCAAATGACTAGCCTGAAAAAAAAAAAGTGAATTTGTGAAAAAATTGTAAGTTTTCTGGTCAGTGCGTTGAAGTTTTCGTTTCATATTTTCACGAGTTGTGTGAACTTATTTTGTTTTTAGATGTTTTTATACTTAAGTATCCATATATAAATAATTATAATAAGAAATGCGTAAGAAAAACAGAAATAAACAAAAGGTTATTGCGGAGAATGTATTGTTACCTGAAGACAAAACATATTCACCTGATGCATTTTAAATATATACGCTTTACTTTTTTTTTTTTTTTTTTTTTTTTTTTTTGTTTTTGGACAATAACTTATATTGTCCATTTTTACAACCTGTATTGTATAATTTTAGAGAATTTTAAGTAATTTTATTCAAATACTTATCAGTATGAAAAAAATTAATCTCCAAATGACTAGCCTGAAAAAAAAGTGAATTTGTGTAAAAATTGTAAATTCTCTGGCCAGTGAGTTAAAGTTTTCGTTTCATATTTTCACGAGTTGTGTGAATTTATTTTGTTTTCAGCTGTTTTTATACTTGAGTATCCATATATAAATAATTATATCATGTGTTTGATTTAATATGAAAACTTTGTTTTCTTAAATAATGCATATTTGTTTGATAAAAACATACTTTTTATCTTTAAAGTCAATTTTCTGAGAACTATGATCTATGATTTTACTCATTGCGCGCAGCATTTCTCTGAAACGGCTAATTTAAAGTGCACCAAATTTTACATGGATGTTTATATGCTAGATATGCTTAATATGACGAACCAAAATGGTTCTTATGTAAAACCTTTTAAAATTATAGCTAATTTATGCCTAAACAATTTGATAAAAATTTTAATTTTGTTTTTAAAAAATTATTTTTGTAGGAAAGTAACATTTAAATTAAATAAATCTTCGTCATTTTAAAGATACATTATTTTTCTACCATATGAAAAAAAATTGGGTTCCTCTTATGCTTTACATAGTTCCAATACTGCGCGCAGTGAATTTCAAAATATTAGCTCTAAAAAAAGGGCTCTACATTTAAATATTTATTTAAAAGTTTTTCTAATGCACATGACTTATTTAGTAATGGTAAACAAATAACTAAGGGTACTACTATATGTATTAGAAATTTCATTTTTATGGGACTATTAGCTTTGGAGATACATCACTTGAAATTTGAGTAAGTTTTTGACATATTTTACCATTCAAAAGGTACCTGACCCTTAAAAGAAAGATAGCTTAAATTTGTGTTTGAAACTTAAATATTATCACGTAGCATTTCAAAGATTTATACATATATTTTATCATAAGACAATGTACTCTTTTTAGGGGTTCTTTAAACTGCTAGTTTTATTTTACTGTCCTAGAACCGTGATTAACAAGCATATCTGTCGTGATTGATAGCAAATAAGATTTAAAAGCTTTCCTAACATTTAACAAAATTTAGAAAAATGCAGTTTGAAAATTTTGAGTTAGCACTTTATTTTTTACCTGTCTCTGAGCCTTAAGAACCTATACCAATTTGTAGAGGTAAGGAGATACAAACTGCTTGGATAATATCTTCGCGGCATAGTTGGCAGCAGCTACCACTTCTTCATTGTCAACTGGAACATCCACGAATCCTCCTAGAAAAACGGCAGTTGCTCAGGCAACCAGAACCAACAACAGACTATTTTTCAGCATCTTGGATGGTTTTGCAGCTTTCCGATTGAAAATCGAATGCTTGTGAGCAGATTCGGGCAGAAATTCATTTTATATGCTGTCTGGTAGTGCGTGTTATAGCACATGTTTCTCTCCCAGGACTTTGGAAGTCTCAAGATGGAATCATCAGTCGTAAGTGCACAAAGATAATGTCGATATCTTTGTGCTTACGACTAATGATTTCCATCTTTCAGATAGCGTACATGAATCAAAAGTACATGGATGTAAATATGTAAATTTCTTATATATCGAAGATCAAATGAATAATAGCACGCTTATTCTTACATTGAGGCAATTAAATATTTGCCTTAAATGGAGGATGTATTATGTTCAAAACAATAACCATAAATTTTCATTTTTGTTCGGATATATGTAGCTTTATAAACATTACCGTAAGTAAAAATGTATCCAGACTCCATACATTCTTGCCACTCTAAAGGCTGATTCAATATCTTTGGTTATTCTCGGATTCCTAGGGCCTATAGAAACCTTCAGAATTAAGGAAATAAGTTTTCACAATTATAAAACGAAAGACAAACAAGCCTTGGCCATAGCATGATAAACACCATCTGGAAACTGTCATGTAATTAAAATCTTCACAATGACCATAAATGCACATCCATTATTCTAACCTCAATGTTTTCTTTGCGGTTATAAGCCCTAGCAATGGCGAGTGATTAAGACCTCTGAATTTTGCGAGTTCGATCCAAGGCAAATGTGCTGACTGCGTGGTTGGTTTTGTGGTTTTTCTCCAAATGTATCGTGAATACGAATCATTTTCTCTTAAAAAGCCCTCCATGAAGGCATCATTCCCCTCAAGCAGGTGGCCTTAGCCTGTTTTCCGTATTCAAATAAAGTAACCTTATTTGCAATAATAGCTCTGTCCTCCATTGAAATTGCACTTGATACAATTAGCTTGGGATGATCAGTACGTTTTCACTGGTACATATCTCTTCAAAAGTAAGTTAAAAACCGCTTCTAATCGTACGCAGTATAGACGAAGAAAGTTACCGTCCAGAGGGTAGAGTGGTTAGGACAGACACACTGGACGAAGGACCTCCGTCCCAGGTCCTCATTATGTGGGACCCATTCAGAAAGTTTGGGGTATCCCCCGTCCGTGGGACCTCGTTCGCGCGGGCGCAAACCCCGCAGTTCCCTCCCGGCTTTTACAAGCATTGGGCAGTACATTAAACATTGCAAATGAATCGCGTTGTCACCCTGCCCCCGGCCACCACTCCGATCGGCAAAACCACATCGTAAAAGGTGCACTGTCCGCATTATCAGTCCCAGCCACGAGAACTGAATGGGGTAAAACCCCCGGGAACTTAGTCGACAAAATGTACTATATAGCTCCACCACAGCTGGAGGAACAGACACGACAGTACCCAGTACGGTCCCTGCCAAGCCTGAACCATCCTGAGTACAATACGCGGGCTCTAGTCCTGTGAAGTCAAATATATACCTTCGTGGTTGAGACTGCCTAGGTACAGATCCTAACCAGTACTTCCCAGGCGTTCGCCTGAGTCAACCCCCCGGGGGGGAAGACTAGTGTAAGAAGACCTCAACGATCTGTGCACAAAGTGTATTTTACCGCCCTGATCAGTATCAGCCCTGTATTATTATAATGGTTAGCGCTGTTGGCGATCGTACGACGTTGCGAACTGGTCCGAGAGGTTGCAAAGTGGTCGTGGTAACTTTACATTTGGTTTACATGTAATCTTTGGTTAGGACAGCCTACTGTAGTACCGAAGGGCCCGGGATGCCCAGAGAAGGCATGGATGTTTGTGAATTTATATAAGACATAAAACACTATACAAGCTCTGTCCAAGCAAAGACACTATACATACCTTCTCCGGGCATGGATGCCTGGAGAAAGTATGTATAGTGTCTTTGCGGCGTGAGGGCACTCTTATATAGCGAGCGGAAAGTCCTCTCGTGTGGTTTGAGGGCAGAAGAGAGGGATGGGAGTACCTCGGGATCCCCCCCGGGTGAAAACTGGGGTGGAAAGTAGAAGTTAGAATGAAAGAACTCCTTGAGAATATGGCAACCATTCTTCCATGAAATGCATGGATAAGACTGCAACAAAAACAGCAACGAAGAAAGTTCACTGTAAATATACATACATGCTGCTTACAGCATTCATTATTATTTTATTTGATGTTAGTAACGTCTTCTATGGGTAAATTACTAACAAAACATAGTAAATTATAAACGCAGTTCCCGTTGTGTGCTATCAGAGTGTAAGTGGTTAGCACGTTCAGCTAGCAGATGGAAGACCCACTTATGCTCTTAAATAAGGGAAGTAAACTGGTTTATATTTAAGCATATAAGAGAAGAGACCACCTAATAACTATTCTTTCACGGTAATATGCAAGAAAATATTTTTATAAATAAATTCCATTAAAAAATTATTTTATGAACTAAACTATTTTCTTCTGCAAATAAAAAATAGAGTTTTAATTCTTTTCCTTTATTCACAACTGTGATCAGTAAAACTTCTTTTTACTTTTAGTTTCTTGGTAAGTAACTTTTAAAATAACTTTGATAGAAATTCAACCATCCAAGATAACCTAGTTCTTGTTAAAAACTTTACGTAACGAGTTTCTCGCTGCTTGTCACAAACTCTTGCTATTCAAAAAATGCGAAACTTAATGTGAATAAACATCGTTATCCAATTTATTTAGTGCAAATATATAAGCTGCTTTTCTGTACAAAGTTTTCAACATTAGCCTTACTTTCAGTAGACAGATAGCTATTGTTCACCGTATCTTAGTTCATACAATTTAAAACACTTAGAGTTATGTTTTTCTATTCCAGTTTAATCTTTTTTTAATAAACAAACCCTTTTCGAAAGCTAATTTGCTTTCATTACCTCTCAGAAACTAAAATACACTCATGTCCATAAGTAAAGGAATAATGCAAAATCAGGCAAAGGAAGAGTTAGAAGCAAAACAAATTTGACTTTTTTGTAAAGCCTATTTATTAAACAAAAGGTAAAGAGCAAAAAAAAAGATGCTATATGTTTGATATTATTAAAAAAATTAGCCATTTTTTCTCCCTGGAGCAAATTACAAAAAAAAAACCTATTTACAAAAAACAATATTACATGGTTGGTATGATTGTTAATACATTGTATGTCTCCCAGACGATGCAATACAGTCCATACAATGCATAGGCATGCTAAGTATCAAATTATCGATCTGATCTTGGGGGATATTATACCACTCCAAAAGCAATGCTCTCCGAAGTTCCGGTAGACATGTAGGAGGAGCTGCAACTCGTCGGCCAAGCATGTCCCACACGTGCTCTGCTGGATTCAAGTCCGGTGAGAATGCTGGCCAGTCCATACGGGTGATATCCTCCGATTGAAGGCATTCGCTTACGATGTTTGCACGGTGAGGACGGGCGTTGTCATCCATAAACACAAATTGTGCGCCCATGGCGCCCCGAAACAAACGTACATGTTGTTCCAGAATGACATCCCGATAGATTTGGCTTGTCATGGTTCCAATTTGAATATGCAGGTCAGTTCTGGAACCCAGAATAATTCCACCCCAAACGAGCACTCCTGCACCACCGTAACGGTGTCGTTCAATGATGTTTTCTTGGTGGTAACGGGTACCTGGAGCTCTCCATATAAAAGTCCGGCGAGAATCAGACTGCAAGCTAAACCTGGACTCGTCGGAAAAAATCACACAAGCCCACTGTTGCAGTGTCCACAATGCATGCTCTCTACTCCAGGCTAACCGCAGGCGACAGTGAGTTGCAGCAAATGGAACGCATCTGACAGGTCTACGAGCATATAGACCAATTTGCCCTAAGCGTCTGTACACGGTCTGCCTTGAAATTGTCATACCAGTGGCTGAAGAGAGCTGACGAGACAGGTCTGAGGCTGGCTCCGCCTGTTTCTTTTGGCAGTAACTGCCAAATACCGGTCCTCATTCGGCTTGTAACTCTGAGGCGACTTGTGCTGTAACGTCTACTCACATTACCATCATCTTGGAATCGTTGCCAAAGCCTGGAGATGAAACTCTGGGCAATTCCAAATTCGTCTGATACTTCCAGTTGGGTACGCTCACATTCCAGATTAATTCTACCACGTAAAAAATCATCCAAATGCGTCCTTTATGTCATAACTATTCGGTTATTGCACTGAAATGCTTATAAAGCGCCTGAGAACAATTTTATTTCTTTGCCTGTATTCCTTATATATCACTCTCTTACACTCTCGTCATTGTGACGTACCATCGGTGTCATCTGGTTACTTCCTGAAATTTGCATATGATTCTTGAAGATGTATGTAGTGATTTTAGTGATATATTTATTTTAGAGTTCCATTTCCGCGTGACTTCGAATTATCCTTAATTTATGGATATGAGTGTATATTGATGCAAATAATTTGTATGCATGATTACCGAATTTCATCCCATGAGAAATGTTATCTCTCATTTCAATGAAGTTCTTGCTCGATAGAATCACAAAAGAGGTGAAAGATGCATAAGTGTTGAAAGTTGAGAAAATGTTCTGCATTGTGAAACAGATGAATATAATATTGTTTTTTAGTGTATGAGCCAGGGAGAAATAACAATTCTTACATTAATTTTGTCTAATAATAATAAATATTGCATTTCTAAGGTTTGACTAAAGCGGATATTTGTGAAGATATGAGTTAAAGAACTTGACCTCATAAAAGTGAATAGTTTAGCATTAAACTAGTTAAAGAAGGAATTTATTAAATACATAATTTTGTTTAAAAGCTCTAAAATATTCAAGAACGAAATAATATAATCTTTCAAGTCAACAAAAATATCCTGAAAAATTTTCTAAATTGTTTAATACATAAAATAGAATATTTTATCATTTGTTTTAGTCATTCAAGCAAAAATTATTTTAGAATGATTATAATGCTGAAAGAAAAATTGTATGAAATATAAAACTTTAGATCCCTATTACAATATAACGTTTACTTTTCTTGGGGGTTT